GAGATTTACTATTTTTCTATGTTATGCTGCTTTGAACTTTTACTCCACTACAATTATTTTTAGCTAGCTGCACCTTTACCAGCTTTGATAACACTTTAATGCAGGAAAAACTTATAATGAAAACATATATTATTCCTAAATGGCTAATTTGCATAATTAGTATTTCGATTTTTGGTTTTGATGCCAACACTTTTCTACTTTTACTTGAGAAACATTTTGAATACGGTACTTTTACTTGTAACATAGTATTTATACACTCTTGTACTTCTACTTAAGTACAATACTTGAGTACTTCTACTTCTACTTAAGTACAAGACCTGAGTACTTCTACTTAAGCACAAGACCTCAGTACTTCTCCCACCACTGTTTAAGGCCAGTCTTTAATTAATGTTGAAGTATTTACTCCTATAAAGGCAGTTAGCGCGAGACCTACCGTTAGCTGGACTCAACTGACGACAGTGAAACACACAACAGGTAACTCTGATACCTCTAACTGTCAAATCAAATGAGTTTTAACTAGACAGACTCGTGTGTTTCAGAAACGTCATGTATGCTAACTAACAGGATATGAACACACACGACGCTCTGACGTTGGCTAAACTTACTAAATCAGTGGTAAATGTTGCTAAGCTAGCGACACAGTAACTATATGAACATATTTTCATGTCATAATGAAAAATAGCCAGGTGTAAAGGTGTGTAAATAAGTCCGACACTTACAGTTTGACAACATTCTCAACAACAGCTGCCATCTTGCTTTAATACACGGGGAAGTGACCGCGGGGAATGTGTGCCCTCCGTCAGGACTTGTAGGAGCAGGAACACACAGCGCCACCTACTGGTAGTTTAAAGAACCACATGTAGAAGAGATCACTGCGGCCCTTTTTAAATATGACATAGTTATATTCAGGATTGGGGAGTAAAGGTTTAATGAGATGACGTCAGGATAAATTAAAAAAAAGGTAACTGTATTCGATTACAAATACATTAAAAAAGAAAAGTAATCCGATTACTGTAACATCTAAAAATTTACAGTGAAATTAAATTATAGTGTTACAATACATTTAAAAAAAAAGATAAATACAAACTGAATTAATGTTCTTTATGGTTTATATTTAGGCTTCTTTACATCTTTTTTATTTTAAATACATTTATTTTTGGTGGACATCTGATTTTTGTTGAGATCAAAATGATTGTGGGGTCCTATCTAGGAGGGCGGAAGGGCCATTGGCCTTAACCCCACTTTACACCCATTTGGAGTAAAAAGTACAATAGTTACCTCCGAATTGTAGTGGAGTAGAAGTATAATTTAAGTAGGTAAACATAAATAAGGTACAATTAGGCCTACATCAGAATTGTACTTAAGTATCTACATTATGTACTTAATTACCCTCCACCACTGGATTATGCTGTCTGATTTGACCTCCTCTCAATACTCTCACTGAAGGTTTGCTCAGCTCTTTAGATGATGACGTCCTTCTTCCCAGCATCCACTGATTAATCATTAACTTACCAGTCATTACTCCATCATCCTTGACCTCATGCTGCAGATGCATCAGAAATCTGTCCACATTCATACACCCCTACTGCAAGAACTCCTACATAAATGACATAATTGTCTTTAATGTTTAAGTTTTTTAATTATAATTTTTAATTTTCACATTTCATTTTGATATTTGATCCATTGTTTTTTTTCATATGCAGATTTCATGCCTTCAGATTCCCATATTTTTTCCCCCAAGCTATATATCGATTTATTAATTAACACTACTTTAGAATACAAAAATATTGCTATTATTGAATCAAAATGATATTCAACCTGAAAAACTTTGCAAATACGTGTTTTTAGTTTGAAAAGGACATTTTCAAAGTTCAGGATCAAAACATGAGCATTCAAATGCATTTTTTTTCTTCGAATGATCAAAACTTTTGGCCCAGATTTAGCTCACTTTCCTTATGAAAGTCCTATTCAAATTGCAATATCTCTCTTTAAATCATACCTTATACATACTGTAGATCACCTCACCTCACAGATGTGGCCGGTTGGCTTCCCTTTTGCTGCTTCATGGTATTACTTGGTAGCATATTTAATTCTGCAAGGTGTTGTTGGATCGTTGACTGTATAAAGTTCCTTAGTTAAATTACTTGGAACCATATTAAACTATTTTCCGAGAACAGACTAAATGAAAAACATGAATACTGTGATAATCTTCTTTGTGTGAAACAGGATGATAACAGCTATCCAGCTCTGTATATATTAGACTAAGCTATGGATGGTTATGATTATGGTCAGTTTGTCGACTGACCATAATCCAAATGTCCCACTTGTTCTCTCTTATGCTCATAATAGAATACAAGCTGGAATGTTTTTTATCATCAAAAACCCACAAACAATATCATGATTTTCTTTAAACCATGTTTTATTATTCCTAATATTAGATGTAGATACACAAGTCAACAAACATTATTTTTCGATTCATAATGAAAATGCTCCACAGCACACTGACATCGTGTGGAAGGGTCTGGTATCACAGACACGTACCTGAAAATGGACAGCAGTTATAACTTTTGCAATAATAAGTTGCATTAGTAACAGTAGTAGTAATAGTAACAACAGTAGCAATAGTGATAATAATAGCAATTAATAATAGTATTGGTATTAACAACTCTGAATTACAGAGGAAGGAACAGACATTCGTCAAAAGTAATGAGAAATGAAGGTAGGAGGACAGGCTTATCAAATGCTGCAAGACAGACCACTGGATGCAAAAATACAAGCTCCCACTAGACAGCAAATACCCTGCCGCCTTCTAAAAGAGGAAGCTCAAATTGTCACCAGCATAACTTCACCAATATTTAATACCAAACAAGTAAAAGTGGTTGTTTTTCTTCATCAAGTAACCCATTGTTTCAAGTACTCTCTTAACCAAAAACCCCTCTCTTTGACAACGACACATCACTCCCAATGTTCTGTTCAAAGCTCACCAGTAGCACAACGCTCCTTTTTTGAACGGATGCCGTATGCAACGTGAAATCACAGCCAGCTGAGGACGTTCCCTAAACACTAGGTCGCCAGGGTCATTCTGCATTAAATATACAGCACAGGTTTAATGTGTGTGTACAGTATGTCAAGTAGGAGAAATATTTCTGCTTCACATGACCAATTTGGCCAAACTAATTAGAATCATTCACATTCAAATGAGCTGATAAGAAAATACACTGTGTGACCTTTAGTCCTTAACTGGAGGCTTTATCTGATGTCCAGAACAAGGTAGCTATAGACACTGGAAACAGCTAATCCACTTGACTCCTGGAGATTGTGCACAATGTACGATAACTGCGTTGGCTCACTTATGTATGCACCGACCTCACTGACTTAGCCCCAATAGAGCAGCTTAAGTTTAAGGCTGCTTACACCGGGAGCTGCGTCACACCCTAGATACAAAATCCCACTGACAGAGACAAGGTAGTCAAGTGCTGTCAAATTGTCTCAAAGTCCATCTTTAGGTAATTTTCTGGCTTGGAGGGTGTTAGATTTAAGATATAAAATTACTGGTTCCACATTCAATTGAGATTGTTAATAAATAAGGCCAACCTGTTCAAACAGCATCCAGTTTATTTTCAGCTCAACAGTTTGGTGAGACATTCCTGTGCCTCCAAGGCATGGCGTGTGCATCCATTACCAGCTTTGAAGAGTTGCTTTCAAGGTGTGCTAAATTACAAATATGTTATAACTCGCAACCTACCTCAAATATTCCATTAAACTCCTGAATTCAGAATTGTTATCCTGTTACTTCCTGTTGCATTTTTGGCAGTTAGAAAAGGCAAATTAGAACTTGGATTGAAGTGACTTACAATAATAACACTTAACAACCAATTCATATAAAATTGTACTAACGCCTACAGTCTCACAATATACTGTAAATGCTCTTGTCATTTCAAACATGTACCCTATTTGAGGACACTATTAAACACATTTTACATTAACTATATTGCCATTATCATGTTCTGGATCAATGCAAATGCCAATTACATTTAATTTGTTTATCGCCAACCTTGGAAATGAAGTGATCTCACGTTTTTAAGAGTACATCAACACAGAAGAGATGGCAATGATGAGACACATACACGTATAAACCTACATGAAGTCATGCCACATATGCAATCTCATGTAAGAGACAATTTAGGATTTTCTTCCCCTCTTTGCTGTGATTTTTGCTGTACCTTCATTGAAATCCACTGACATACACGAGATCATTGCCACAGGGCACATTTTCAACATTCTTGTCTCCGTATTTCGTTATCTTTATCTTTAACTGTTCGAATGGGTTTGTAAAAAGGGGGTCTGTGAATCTGTTGTGGGTTCAAGTAAGGCTCCTCTCTCTGTCAGGTAGCACATAAAGCATATTTCCAGTCCAAAATCACTTCCACATCCCTCTCTTCACTTAATGAGACCTGTCCATCTGTCCTGCTCAGCTGCGTCCGCCACAGAAAATGTGCTTCAGCTTTTTTTTTTTATCTACAAACTGCCCCCATGCCTTCACACCAGTAAATTAAGAACGGAAATAGATATTAGAAGACTTAAAAAAACAGAAATAATGAAACCGTCTGGTGGAACTTCATTGGTAATGTCAGTTTACATAGAATTAAAAACCAGAAGCAAAGGAAAAGCTGATTTTATGAAATAATTCCAGTAATTATTATGTTTGTCTGCGGAGCCGAAAAGCAGCATTCATCTGCCCACGTTTGAGCAGGAATAACATTAACGTGCAAAATCCACGGCACCACAACTCACACACACACACACTCGCACACACACACACACTAGAAAACTAATCTTATCTGCTTTGTACAGAAATAAAGAAATGTGAAAATCAAGCAGAAAAAGATCACTCAAAGGAAATCAAATACAGGCAAAATTAGAGACAAGATAAAAAATAAAACCACTTATTAAATATATATATATCATTTTCCCAATGAAACTTGTGATCTGCACACTGCTAAAATTCAATGAGCTTTATTTTTTCTCAAAACACCTCATCAACTGTCATTCCTAAAGGAAATCAATAATAATAATACATACAAGGGCAAGCCCAACATTCTCCACTAGTTTAACCAAAAGTGTTTCTCTCCACAACATGAATCAAGATTATCTACTGGAAAATTAATTACTTTGTTTTCTCAAACCAGCAATAGCAAAAGATAAATAATAATAATAATAATAATAATAACAGCAGAAATATCGGTCAGGTTAATAACATCAATACCGAGAACAGAAAAAGCGACTGATGTGATCCTTCCCAAAAAAACAGAGCGCTTAAGAGCGGGGAAATAAAACCGGTGTGCATCAGAGTGGAAAGCCACCATCCATTGTTTTATTAGCGGCTCGTCATGGAAACGGCTCAGCTAGTGAAGACTCACTGAAGAGAAACTATTCGTGTTGAAGGAAGGCCGTTTTGGTGGATTGAAACTGAATCCCTGTTAATGCCAAACCCCCCGACACTGACTTAGATTTATAATCTCAGCGGGTCGGCTGAAATTGGATGAGGGCTTTCATAGTTGGGTGCAGCTTAATGTGAAATATGATTTTGGTGAACGAAAAACTAAATTACGGATAAAAAAAATTGGCGAGGGAGAGAATCAGAGAGAAGGAAAATTGAACAAAGTTCTCTGAAAGCCACGTTGAGAATCCCCCGGGGCTGATCTGAGGGCAGTTTACTCTCTGCCTGCTTCTGTTTGCTGAAATTTAGTTGTAAATGTTGTTTCCATCGATTTTTAAAAGTGTTTCTATTTTTTCTTGCCGAAGAAGCTGAACCTCTTTTCACGATCCTTGTCTTTCCCGTCTTTGTTGCGCATGGTGACTCCTCCCCCTTCCCCTGAGCTGGGGGAGATGGGGGGCATCGTCATGGCGCGGCTGAGGGCCCGCGGACCCACCGGCGAGTCACCTGACCCCGTGGGCATGGAGCTGATGATGGAGCTGATCCAGGCGCTCATCTCCGCCTTTAAACAAAAACAAATCATCATTATAAGAGATAAGATAAGACAAGACAAGACAGTACTTTATTGATCCCAATTTGGATTTCCAGCCCTCCCCCCTCTGCTCCCCAACCACAGGCCCACCGCAGACACACCAGCATTACTGTGCAGCTCTGTGATTGGCAGAGAGACGGGGGATGCTTGAGTGACCCACACAGCACCCTATACTGGGTCGCTGCAATATTATACTTCACTATCATCAAACAGAGCCACAACACAACAACACTATTGTACTAAAGTAATAATTTTGAGTAGATAACTCCATTTATCTCACCTCATCCTTTGCTTGGAACAGGAACTCTTTTCCATCCCCGAGCCTGCTGACACAGCGTTGAAGATGTAAAGTATTAGTCAGATACATCTCAGCATTTCATTACCTTTCATTTGACTTATTTAAGCAACAGTGTTACTGTATCAGGGATCCTTGTTGGGATGTTTTTCTTTGCCAAGTCTATTCTCACCTGAGCTTGAATACAAATTTCCTCTTCTTATATCCGTTGGCTACCTCACACACGGCGTCCCCGAGGCTGATGGGAACCTCTCCGTGGTAAGGGATGCCGTTGCTAGCGCTCTTTCCGTCTTTATAGAAACCGAGGCTTCCTTTTCTTAAGACGCAGTACACGTTCTGCCAGGACCTGTAGGAGCAAAGAAACAGGGATTAGGGAAGTCAGTAAAAAATGCCGTTGACTTCCTTAACCCTTAGATGCATAAGTGGGTCTTTCTTTTAGCCGGTGAGGTGGTTTTTCTTGAAGTATCTTTGTAATTACATTTTTGTATCATTTCATATTCCAGCTATTCCTCAAAAAACATGCTTTGGATATCATGCCATTCAAATTTTTAATTTACAATTTCAGAAATTGTAGTTTTTGTATTTCTACCCCAAGCTTCCATAAGTGGGTCAAAAATGACCTGCCTGCATTTCCTATGGGAAAACGTTTGATTCTTATCAACCTGTTGCCTGTCAGGAATACATTCACGTTAGCGACACACATGACTACCATCACAAGCTGACACCTCTCAGAAAGATTATACTTTTTACACAGCCAGCAAGACTCTGATACCTGTCAGTATAATAATAATACCATTATATTTTTTAATAGAGCTTTTTCAAAAAGACTCAAAAATCGCTTTAACAATTATAAGGGAAGGTTAGGGTGGGGGGTGTGCGGCGATTCAAACTTGAATCAAAACCGGCATGGATTGATGGGGGGTAGGGCTATGAGCGTAGACAAGCAGGAGAAGAGATTGAGTTTCCAAAAAGGGACTTGGAGATATGCTGAGGGTCTCCAGAAATAGCGGAGAACCTTTGGCATCAATATGTTTCAAACAAGTTTTTTTTTCAAAAATGTAAAAAAAAAAAAAGTCTAAAAAATTATAAAATAGGTGAAAAATTAAATTATAACAAATAATTTCTAGTGTGAAACCAAAATCTATAATACTATAATATTATACAAGTGATTTTTTCTTAAACCAAAATGACCAAAAAAAAATGACATAAATGCAACAAACAACACATAATTATCTTAATACGGGTCCTTTTTAGACCCACTTATGGATAGAGGTGGTAGGGGTCCAGTTCACCTCTAAGGGCCATCTAAGGGTTCAAAAAAGGTAGGAAACTAGGGCATACACAACTTTAAAAAGATACAAACCAATTTATACAAAACCAGTTAATTAAAGTAACAGACATGAAGTTCTACGGTGCATCTTTACAAAAACAGGCAATAATAATTTTAGAAATTGTGTTTTGTTTTTATGCCACCCAACGCTCACCTGGTTAGCTGGCCTTTTTTTGCTGCGGACTCCATGCCTCGTGTTTTTCGACAGAGCATGCCCTCCATGGTGTCTGGATCGGACTCGGCCCCCCCCCTGCTGGGGTAACGTGGCCTGAGGGCTTCGAGGCGGACGACGCAAGCCCGCTGTCTCTGGCGGGGTCCGTTCGACTCGGATCTGAGCCCCGTGCGTCAAAACCAGAACATGAAGGAGGAGGAAACAAACACACGACTGGAATGGAAGCAAGCGAGCAGCCAAAAAGCAGCCCATTCACAGCCCGTACATGAAGAAGCCATGACGACGCTCGC